CCACGGCCGTAGGAGTTTTTCCCCGCACGTAGCCTCTCTCAAGAGAATGGGTTTAATTTTTTGGCTCTGAGTTGATCTGAGCTGCGGAGGAGGCTCGGGGCGATGTGTCCCGGGAGGGATCGGTTCCGTCTTCCCGGGGCCTCCCGTCGCGCTTCTCCCGTGCGTCTCGGAGCGCCTGGTGGGAGCCGCGTGCTGCCAAGTCAGCCGTGGATCGGTGAGGGAACGTTCTGACACCCGATGGGCGATCTCGGAAAGCGAAGCGGGGTGAGGTAGGCTGGAGTGCTGACCTGAACAGCGGCGGACCTAAAATAGAAGGAGAAGTGGTTGGATAAAGGACGTGATCTGCTATTTTGGACTGTTGCTTGGGCGGCCCTTGGGCAAATTCCTCTTTGGACTTACTCAGTGTAGGCTATCAAGAGCCTTTTTTGTTCTTATCAGGAGACAAATCCTTCAACTTGTGTTATTTTTTCTCTGAGAAGTTAAATATCTCCGTGTGAACATTCTCTCAGTCCTGTAATCTAGGGCTAAGTTAGGATTTTTTTTTGGTCTTGCAAGATGTGACAGTTCAAGAATTGAAGTGGTAACAAATATAGTGCCAAAGATGATTCTTTTAATTGCTTCTTGTCTCAGTGACCAGCAGAGACCATTGCTGCTCATCAGGGGTTCCAGAGAAGCTCTCAGCTTTCTCTCCTGGGTGGACTGATAATTAGAAGGTGCCGAGAGTAAAGCAGAGAGTTCAGTGTTCCCTTTAGGGTCATGTCACTGATGGTGAACTTGGCATAGTCCCAGTGCTACCTGTGTGTCTCACTCAGTTCTCTCAGAAGTGGAACGTGTTTTCTGATGCCTTCATGGCAACACGTTTTGGCCAGCGACTAAACACCTCAGTGCCAACTTCAGAAGACGCAGTTATTTCTTTATATCCCATCCTCGCTAGACTACCGCGGTGGAAAGATCTGAACAGTGGGAAGGGTCTGTACTGCAACCTCATGTAACGTTCCGTGGGTTCTCATCGGAAAGGTAGGAGCTGTTTGTTGGAATGCCACAGGCAGAGTCTACGCAGGACTCCAGGCTCTGGCTTCCTGATAGATGGTTTCACTAGTGGTTCTGATATCTCGCTCTCCCCTACCCAGTCTCTATTTTCTTTCCCTCTTTTTTATTCCATACTGGGGCTGTGTGTTTGTTTTATGACTTTTTCCTCTAGATCTTCATCAGTTCCAAGGGAGTGTGGTGAGAAGGACTGGTGCTACAGCAGGCAGCGACAGCAGTAGCTTGAAGAATAGGTATATCTTGAAGAGCGAGAGCTCCTCATGGCTGTGCTGTCTCCTGCGTGAGGCCGAGCTAATAAGCCTGAAAGAATTTATTAGCATGATCTGTGCCTTGCTCCAAGCATTGCTGGTTGGGAACCGCTGTTCTAGCCAGCAAGCTGTTACGGAAAACCATTCTCTTCTTCTCTGGCTGCATTGTTAATTGAGGAGTTGTGGCTGCTGTGTTTTGGGGAGCTGGAGGACAATGCCAGCAGACTGTGGCCGTACGTCAGGGATCGCACAGTAAATAGGGAGCGTGGCAGCTCAGTGCACCGTGTCGCAGCTGGAGGTGGAGAGGGTGTTTGTCATCCAGATGACAGGTAGGAACCCTGAACCTGTGTTGCACGGTGTGAAACGAATGTCATCTATCACAGCACCTCGTTCTTCAAGGGGGCTTTTGACTGACGAAACGACTTGGGTGTGAAGTACATGCTCAGTGATGCTCTTGCGTGGCTTATTCTTAAGTTTTTGGGGAGTGGTTCTATCATCCAGCTGGTGGTAGAAAGGAGCTTACAAAAACTTTTGGGTGTGCAGGCTTCCTTTTGGTGTGAAGCAGCCCTGCCAGAAAGCTGGTTTAGTTTGTTTCCTGGAGATAATATTTGGAGAAACCCTAACCAACCTTGTCTCACTTGTTGTCACTCCCTTTTGTGTGACTAATTTCTAAGAGGCCAAGCATAACAGTACTTCTTGCTTCAGGTTTACGTTTCTGGAAGAGTGTGGTAGTTAAAAAAAAAAAAATAAAAAATGTTTAAATCAAAAATAAGGGAGAGGGGGCAAGAAAGATTCCAGACTTGCCTGGGTGAGTCATTCTTGTTTTTAATTGCTGGCATAAGGGACAGTCATGAGGGAAAAATGGGACATAGCTAGAGTTGATGAGGGTATGCCAAATTATTTTGTGCTCTGAAAGTTCTTGAAATCTGCACCTGTAAAATCACATTCTGTCTTCACCTGCCCGGTTGCGACATAATTTTGGCAGCTAATCAGTCTTGTATTCTTCATAAAGTTAATCAAGATATCATCTCTAGACAACATGAAAACACTTGTTGCGCGTTCTGCTGGTCTTGAAAATGAAATCCAGCTAAAATCGTGCTGACATTTTGAGGATTGTAGAAGGACAAACAATTATGATCACTACTGGAGCTTGTAGACACAAGAAATGTTCCAGGATGTTGGGGAAATGTGCGTTCCATGTCTTGCATATCATACTACTTCTCTGAACATCGTGGTCTTAGTCTCTCTTGATAGGAGAAGTTTGTGAAAACGTTTTTTCATCATTAAATAGGCAGTGAAAATCCATGGAGTTCTGCCTGGGATTATGTCTGCACTTCGTCAGAGGTGCCGTGGCAGCTCTCTGTGCTGGTGCTACCTTCGAAATTGCTGACTCTGGTGCTGATAGCAGGGTAGTGCTGGCGGTATTGAACTGCCTTTGAAAGTGCAGAGGTTGTAACCTGTATTTTTGGACAGCTAGAGTCAGGTTAAATGGCCAAGAAGTTGGATTGGTTCAACAGGAAGCACTCCCGAGTTTAGATGCGGAAGCCTCTTGGTTGCTTATGTTCTAAAGTTCAAGTCAGGTCAGCAAATGAATCCTGGTGCAGGTGAGAGAGTTGAGAACCTGCTTTCCCAGGGGAAAAAGGTTTTTCAGTAAGGTAATAAAATGAGATGTGAAAGAAGGTGAGTCAAGGGCTGTCTCTTAGATTAATCACAGACAAGCAGCCATCCATAACCGCCGCGCTTTTTCTAGCTTCTGTTTTCTATCCTTGTTCTTGGAATCTGTAAGAAGGGCTGCAGTCTCGTTGCTGTGAGCAGCTTGAGAGCTTTGTGTCGTGAAGTGGTGGGAGGAGGATTCTAATTGCTAATGAAGACTTGGGTTTCTGGGACAGTTACTGAATGGTAATTGTAAACTGATGCTTCAAACCAAGCAGCAGGAGCCCGTTGATGCTGTAGGGAGTATCGCTGTTAGTGGCGTGTACCTGTGGTGCTTCTGCCCTCAGAGATCGTTTCACTGAAGAATAATTTTAGCAGAGAGTTAGCAAGCTCTTGTGCATTAATTGGTGAAATTAGTGTGAGTGGTGGAGCCAAGTAGTGTTCTGGATGCTGTTCAAACCATGAAATTCCGAGTCTTGTGTTGAGTTACAGCCAGGAATATTTCATGTCTCCAGCCGTGACACTCATCCCAGGGTATGCTGGCCCAGGTACCCCTAGGAGCACGTGTGCGCCGTGACAGTCCCTGTAGCTTTTGAGGCTCCAGGGTATCCTTGGCTGCCTTTTTGCTGAAGGACAGGACAGGACAGCTCCGTCCTTCAGGCTTCCATCTCATTTGGGGAGAATCTAGCTGGTTCTTGTGCAGGCCAAGCTCCTTGAGATTTTAATATCCTCGCACGCTTGTTGACATAGTAGTTTGATCTGTTGCAGCTGATGGAATGACGATTCAGTTGGAATTGGGTTGGAAGCTCCATCGCTGCCTTCTGTGACTCCTGAAGTAAGAGCTTCTACGGGTCAAACAACGCTGAAAACCCGTCTCCTGGTTGGATTGTAATCCCCTCACCCTCAGAATTGGCCTACACAGTTATCGTAGATGAATCTGAACAGTGTGATGGTTGATGTGGATTTGATGGTTAAGTCTCTCAGGGAGGGCTTAGTCTCCTGGTGATCCCAGTGGTGGTCTCGAAGCTGGTGTAGCATCTCAGGTTTTGGAGCAGGACATTAATGGGTTGTGTTCAAGCCCTGAGACCACTTAGTTTCTTGTAAGACAGTAAATTATCAGGACGTGCATTCTCCAGCCTCCTTCCACGCGGATTGAGGACCGGACAGCAGACAAGCTCGTGTTCCACTGTACAAATGGGATCTACGGAATGTAAAACAGGGAAGAAGAGTGGAGTTGAGATGATCAGCAAGCTCACAGCCAACAAAGTCTACTCTTCAAAGGAATTTTGAGCACAGATGGTAACTATTATGCTTAAAGGAGGCGTACTTGATAAAAAATATCTAAAAGCTGCTGCTTTTTATTCGGACCTGGCTATGCTTTTCATCCAAAACAATTGAGACACGTGCTTAGGAAGCTGGTAACATTAGTCACCGTTTTCTAAAACAAAGGTAGCTAAAATATGACTTTAAATCATAGTCATTTCACAGCCTTTTTAAGTAAATGACGATAACGCAGGACGTCTCACTTGACTCAGAGGTTCTTTATCCTTGTTTTGTAGTGGTGCTTTTGTTCTTTTCAGTCATTTGACTTCAGTGTTAGCTCTGCACAGTTAGCTGCTGCTTTTCTGGAGTGTTTTTAATGATGCTTAAGATTTTTCAGCTCTAGTTCTGCATTGAAGTCATGTGAGGGCAAACTTCTGTGGCCAGCCGAGCTCCGCTTCCGAGCCTGATTGGAACCAGCTCCGCAGCGTTAAAACGACCAGAGTTAATCCGTTGGTGTGCGCGTATGTTTGTCTACATAGTAAGCTAAAATAGACTGCACAGTAACAGCTGCTAGGCAGCTTAGGAAAAGCTACTGCTCTTCACTGCTGGCTCCTTCTTTCTCATGAGGGGAAGCTTCTAGATTCTCTGGAAATAACAAAATTTCAGGACTCACACTGGCCCACGTTCCTAGGGCGCGTTTAGTGTGTGTTAGCCCTGTTGCTGCATAAAAGGAGCTCTTCTCTGTTGCCTGTCCGGCGTTACCCGTGTATGTTTTCAGGATGAGTGCATGGGTTTTCTGGGCAGATCGGAGTGGTGGAGAGTCACCGTGTGGCTGAGACACCGGTAAGTAGGTATGGCATCTGTAGTGTCCCGCATCTTCTCCCAGGAGGCTTGAAGCGAGTGTATTTATAGTTTTTACGCAGTAAAAAGCAGCGTGCATGATACAGAAAGTACCTTGCATCTTTTGTGGTCAAGTGAGCTCCAGCTCACAGCAAAACCCAGTCTGTTGCTTTGTGCAAGTCAGAACACACCGAGCAGCTGGTTTGTGACGGCGTTTTACATGTGTCTCTCCTGGAGGGCAGAAGCTCTCAAAAGGTGCTTTTAAAGATACGTGAACAGAATTTAAGTACTGCTGTTGCACTCGGAGATGCAGTACATCCAGCAGTTTGCAGTCAGTTGGGAACTGCCAGGGTAGACCCTACGTCATTGGGTCAACGTGCAGGATGTGTTTTTGAGGATCGGGGTCACGTGCCTTGGGTTAACCTACCGTGTAAGGGGCACGCTGGATGCTGTCCAAGCCGTTGACTGCTTGGGTTGTAGTTCTTTCCAAGTACACGCTTTCCCTGAAAGAGGCAAGGCAACTAATGTTTGCATGTGAACACAGGTGTCCTCGGGGACCTCGCTGAGGGTGTCCTTGGTAAGCAGCTTCCCTCTGGGAGCTACATCATCCCGAATTGAGGGACTTGGCGATGAATAGCCAGATCATTGCCTGCTGGTGGCTGTTCAGCACTGGTGATCTTTCATCCCTTTGTCCAAATCAGACTGAGCCAATCTGTGGGTGTTCACTGTGCCTCAGATGAGCCTGGAGCGCTGATCTACATCGGTTGGTGAGCTGTAGGCAGCAAGACAAATGTGATGTTTGATAGCGATAGTAGGGTAATCCAGATAGGCTGCGTTACATGGCTGCAATTAGCAGAGGAACTGCTGGGTGTAGAGGAAGAGATGACTAAATCCAGGGATGCCATCCCTCCATCTGTGGTCATTTTGTTGCCAGCTGGGTACAGCCAGGGAAGGTGGTTGTGGCTCCATATGTTTAAATTGCCTCTGACTTGGCTTTTCCAGTTGTACGTGACCTCCTTTTAGAAGTTGTTAAACTGTTGTTCTTTGAAGAGGATGGAAAATCTGGCAGGCAACAAGTGCCTTGGGCGAGAGAAGTGCCTCTTGCATACGCAGTGACGTTCTGTGCCAGGTCAGTAAAGCGAAGCGTAGGAATACTTGTTTTCCTCGACAGCTTAAGCAAGAAGAAATCTGCCCTTCTGCAAGGAGAACGGATTTGTTGGTTCCCGTGTCTTCTGGGAACGTGCAGAGAAGGTTCCCTTTCCTGCCATACAGCTCCAGTCCCCTCGTGCTCACCGTGACGCAGTCTGAAAGCGCGGTACCTCCGGAGAGCCGAGGCAGCCCCATCGGCCGTCGGCGCTGGCACTCGTGTTGGTTAGTGTTGGGCAGAGTAACCGCGGCGTGGCTCAGCTCATCGGGTGCCGGAGCGGTTGCCCGGCGTTTCTGCCAGATGAGCCGCTTTGCGCAGCCTTTCTGAACGCCATCTCTGCTCAGCCATCACAAGATGAGCTGGCTTTGTTGGTATGGAACCAACACGCTGTTCGTAGTGCTGTTTCCATGGCACAGACCCGCCGCTGCGAAATCCTGGGCTTCGGAAGAACTCTGGAGGTTTACGAGCGTGCGGCAATGAGAGGAAGCCCGAGGGATCCCAGAGGAGGAAGGCAGCGAGGAGTAGCTGCCAGTGCTGGCAGAATAGTTGTTGCAGTGTGCTGCTGTGTTAGCAGGAAAGCTGGCAACGCCACCGGTTCCACGCGACTGCGTGGGATTGAGAGCAATCCGTGGAGCAGCTGAGCTGGTAGTCAGAGTAAAACGTGGCAGGAGACAGTCTGTGTTTAAGTGCCTGGTTGCACATCAGATGACTTCTGTCAGAAGTCTAGGAGGTCAGAGTTTTCCTACTAGTGTAAGTTTAGGGTTATTTCCAGCTTTATGTGTGCTTTCGCAAACCAGCAAATCATAATAGTCGCCCGAGTGGTGCGCACCGTCTCCTCTGGTATTTCTACCTAGAGCAGACCCCAAGAGTATTGACTGATCTCTGTTCCTACGAGTTCTGCACTGAATTCGTCATGGCAGGGTGCGGGGTGGCCTCCCAGACTGAGGGGACAGCTGTGGTGCTGGAGGAAAGAGCTTCCAGGTGTCGTGAAACTGAATAGCACTGGACTTTGGCGGTCGGATTAGAGTGCTGCCGTAGTTGACGCAGCTGAGATGAACAGACCTGAGCTCTGCTCAACATGTAGATGAGACACGTCTGTCCAAATCATGTATGTTAAGCAAAAATCAGTTGTGCTTAAGAAGGTAACATCTGCCCGTGATGGTACTGAAGCTTACGGGAATAGTGCTTCGTCTTGTCTGCGCTTGAGAAATGTTTGGAAGAAGTGTAGGATTCATGGGTGAACCTCGACGGTGATGTAAGTAGTATATCCAGTGCAAGTCTTGGAGTTCACACTGCTTCATTTCAGGGGTGGCTGGAAATTAACTCCAGTTACCACTTTGAATTTGTTTGTCAGTGCTTGGAGTACTGTAAGACCTTAATGGCCTGGCCTCCCAGTACCAGACCTGCTTGTCTTTGTGCACAGGGATTTGTAAAACACACTTTATCTCTGCTTGCCCGACAGACTGGTTTTGCAGTGGTCAGCCTGAGCTACTGAAGTGAAATCGGGTTTCCAGTGCAAACACGGTAGAATAACACCTTCACCTGCTTATGGAGGAGCTTCCTACCTTTTTGTCCTAAATGTGTTTTTCTTGCTAGGCTAAGGAAATCCTTACGAAAGAATCGAATGTGCAAGAGGTCCGTTGCCCCGTCACCGTCTGTGGGGATGTCCACGGTCAATTCCACGACCTTATGGAACTCTTCAGAATTGGTGGGAAATCGCCAGACACAAACTACCTGTTCATGGGAGACTACGTGGACAGAGGCTATTACTCGGTGGAAACGGTGACTCTTCTAGTAGCGTTGAAGGTACAGCTTGACAGCTTCTCTACAGCAGCCTCGGGCAAAACTTCGCTCTCGGGGAGCTCGGAAGGGATCGCTCCTCCCGTTGACGCTGCCGTTGGCTTGAGCTAGGCGGATGTAAATGGGAGTGTGTGAATGGCCACGTGTTGTGTGATGACAGAGCTGACTGCTTGACTGCTATTCGAAATACTCTGTTACTGTTTCTTTCCGTGTCGGTGGCACGATTCGGACGTTCAACGATCGTTTTCTTTGTCCGTAGGTGCGTTACCCGGAACGCATTACAATACTGAGGGGCAATCACGAGAGCAGACAAATTACACAAGTGTATGGCTTTTACGACGAATGTCTGCGCAAGTACGGCAACGCCAACGTCTGGAAGTATTTCACGGATCTCTTTGATTATCTTCCGCTTACGGCTCTAGTAGATGGCCAGGTAAGCCTCGAGTAAGGAAAACGCTCCGTTTCGTAGAGTTACGCAGACCGTGTTGTCTGTCCTCTACGTGAAGAGCCCCAAACAAGCCCCTTTAACTTGTCATCTGAATTGTTTGAAAGCCCATCTACTTCTTGTGGGTTTGGGGAAGAATTGAGTGAGGTGCCAATAAAATTTGATGGTGCAGGAAGCTTTGGTTTCTGCTGCTGAAGGAATGGCAGGGCGTTGCATGTACGTTGCGCTTTAAACGAGCGCTCGGCAAGCGAGGAATCCCCTCGTGATAAATAGAGGAATCCCCTCGTGATACATGAGATGGAAGTTGAGTTGTGGCTGTGATGCAAGATACCCCTAAAACGGAAGGCGTGGTGTTTTTTGCTGTTGCTCTGATCCCTGTGTGCAAGGTGCAGCCCTTTACTTTTGTTTCCTTCGGCAGAAATTAAATTTCGTTTCCGCCCTGCGAGGGCGAGATGGCTGTAATTGTAAAAGAATGATAACGGAGTTAAAACCAGCTATTTCTGAGATCAGTCTTCCCATAACAATATGCACTGAATGGATTGCTTTTTTTTTTAATTTTGGGAACAGATATTCTGTCTCCACGGTGGCCTCTCTCCATCCATAGATACACTGGATCATATCAGGGCTCTGGACCGCCTGCAAGAAGTTCCACACGAGGTAACCGGAAAAGAAATGCGTTGTGAACTTAAGATATCTGTTGGTGGAAAATGCAAACGTGGCCTCAGGTTGAAATCCATTTAAACAGGGAGACATGAGGTTACACAGCGTGTTATTGCCTTCCTAAGAGCTAGGGCTGATGAACATGCATTTGAGCAAAACACACAGGTCAATATGTTTAGATTACAGCCATCTACAAAAGCAGAGCTGTGGGGTTTTCGCAGCTGTTTTTCACAGAACCACAGGATTTTTTGGCTGTCACACTGACTCAAATAATAGTATTTGACAGGGGAAGGTGTTCCCTACCTTCAGCCTCATGGCAGACTTGCTTGTGAACAGACAGCCACCACGTCAAGCCATATTGTGTCACCATCCTTCTTCCCAGCCAGTCCTTTCTTCTGTGATGTTTGACCTTGTTCATCGCTCTCTGGAGGCCTGAGATCAGACTGAAGAAACCAGCTTCTGAGCTCTCAGGGTAGCAGGTGGCTCTTCTGTGTTGGAGTGGCTGGGGGCTTACAAATGGACTTGAATGTTCCCCTGATGAAAATAAACCTCGTGTCCTGCAATGTCTTTCGTATAACAGCAAGAACAATGCAGCAAGGTCTTCCCAGGCCTTCCCAAAACCTGAAATAAGCTGTGTAAATAATTCCCAGAGTTGGGGGGCTACCTGATGGGACATGGACCTGTAGTTAGGCCTTATTGTTGCTCTGGGGTTTTCCCGGTCCTGTGTTACATATCTGTGTGCTGAAATCTGCCTGTCCTGAGGACTTCCACATGTAGTCAGTGTGATCCCTACCGCAGAGCTCGGATCAGCGGGTAGGAAACAGCAGCAGGCTTGGAGAAACTAGGGTGTCTTTACTGCCCCTCAGTAGCTCAGCAAGAAAAGCTGCTGAGCTTCATTTGTGATGGTTAGAAGATGTACACCAGGAATCTTTTTGCATAAGTCACGTCCAACAACACACTGTTTAGGAGAGGAAATTAAATGATTAATACCCTGCAGAAAGGGCTACTGGAGCCTTAACATCAATCTCTGGAACAGTTAGTTCATAGCCTCCTATGGATCATTGCCCTTTCTTTAATTTATTGCAACTTGGCTGGCACCGGTGGAGCCATTGCGTGTCCGTGGACACACCTACCTTCTCACCTGGCCTTCCTTCATTATCCTGTAAGAGTCAGGAGCAAGAACGTGGATCTGCTCGCCGCCTCTTTGTATCTCTGACTAGTTGAAGTGAAATGGTAAACAGTGTGTGTGGAAGAGGTGGTGGGAACGGTTTTCCGCTTCCATGGGCTCCTTTTTTAGCTGTGTACGTCTCCATTTCTTTGGGAAGGATGCTGACTGACACGGTGAGTAACTACTGGTACTACATGTGGTAAATGAACTCACGTGCCTTGTGCAGAGAAGGTCGTGCTGGCAATCTTGCTGCTGTAAATAAAAAATATTTCTGAAGTGGCTTTTTGTAACCATCTTGCTAGCGGTCTAACGAAGAACGCTTCACCTTTTTCAAGGGTCCGATGTGCGATCTGTTGTGGTCGGATCCGGATGATCGTGGCGGCTGGGGTATATCTCCACGCGGTGCTGGCTACACCTTTGGGCAAGACATTTCCGAAACGTTTAACCATGCCAATGGTCTCACGCTGGTCTCCCGTGCTCACCAACTTGTCATGGAGGTAGGGCAAGCGCTCTGCTAGATGGGGCTAACAAAACATAGATGCGAGTTCTTTTCTCCTCTTGGGAGGCCTTCTGCTGATGGGTTTGCATGAACTGACACCTAAATGTTACGCAAGAGGGACTTAAATGGTGTGAAAACAACAAGCAACAGAACATGATGTGCTTTTCTTCCCTGCCTGGCAAGTAAACTGCCAGAGGGACCCTGTCACAGCCCATTTGTGGAAGTAATAATCTTCTTACACGCCCGCTGCTCTACTTAGACTGCTGCTGCATTAAGGAGGCTGTCCTATAACACTCGGCCGTCAGATGTGACAGGGATTAAGCCATAATTTTGGCTGTTGATAGGCTGTTCTGGTATGTCTTGCTGGAAGATTGCCAGGTGGGTCAATGGAGCAGATGTATTTTTAAAATCCAGTTCAAGTAGATCCCTTAAGTAGTACCGTGTGTCAGAAGTCGCCCGCATCCAGCCGGCGAGTTCTCAGTTGTGGTGGATGAAAGCCGAAGGCGTACCTAAGAAATCCCGAGGTTTCTTTGTGGTACAATCCATGATTTGTGTACGAAACGGGTCAACGCACGAGCGACACATGGCCCATTTCTCTGCCGAGTGACTGGAGTTGTTTTTGCTGAGTAACTACTGCTTGTTCTTGTGGTAGAGGACTCTGCAAAATGCAACTAAGTCGTTTGGAAATAACTTCAAAAAAGTATCTTGTTTCACAAACACCTTGGATCATTTCAGCCTTCAAGAGGAACTTCAGATGGGCTGAGGTTTGAGGTTTAACAGAGACTTCTTTTTTTTCCCCCTCTTTTTTCTCTCTCTCATTTTCTGGCAGGGTTATAATTGGTGCCACGACCGAAATGTGGTTACCATCTTCAGTGCTCCCAATTACTGTTATCGCTGTGGGAACCAGGCTGCTATCATGGAACTAGACGACACTTTAAAATATTCCTTGTGAGTAACCTGGCTTGGGCTGGTCTCTCTTCCTCACCTTTCTGTATTGTGACCAATGTCTGATCCTTTCCAAAGGAGGTTGTTTTGTGAAAAGTCAGCTCAAACCACTCAGGAATTAACGTCGTGTGCTCTACCTGCAAAAATAGCTAAAAATAAGTAGTGAGTTAAGCTCTTGAAAGCTTCTCTTGGGTACTGCATTATCTTCTCTTCCTGGCTCTCTGGAGAGTTGAAGCTTCTCTATATTTGCAATCACTCTATTGCCCAAGCTTGATGGAGAGAGTAAAGGCAGATTGATTTTATGGGTTTATTTTTATTTTCGGGACCACTAGGCTTTGTCAAGATGGGTGAGGGAGTCTGAATTCTGCATTCAGCTGAGCCCACGTGAAGGTAGTGCTGGGCTGCTGGGTGGTGTTCCCTCTGTAAGCAGCGTTTCGACCAGCTGCTGAGTTTTTAACTCCCACGGATGCTTGTTTTGGGACCGGAAGGTTTTATGTGGAAGCAGCTGGGATGAATAGAACAATAGCAGCAGGAGAGCTAGTGTAGTGTTTATTGTGGTGTTGGAAAATAATTTGTGGAGGAGAGGGAACTGATCCCTTTTTTCTTTCCCGCAGCCTCCAGTTCGACCCAGCACCTCGTCGTGGAGAGCCTCATGTCACCCGTCGTACCCCAGACTACTTCCTATAAACCTCTCCCGACCTTTGCGGAGGGAAGTACACTTGGCGTTTTCAAGAGCAACAATATTTACACGTTTCCGTAAGAAATCGGGATTCGTCTCAAACTTCAAATCCCCCATCATGGACCAAAACGTGCCATACAGAGGACGAAGGGCGTTTAGCACAACTCGAGACTGAATTCCTTACAACACTATATATATCCTGTACCCGCCAGCCCAACGGTCAGTTTGCCTGCTGTATTTGTAGTCATTGTTTTTTTCTTCTGGACTGTTCAGAGAGGAAAAAGGTAACTCTTAATAACACTTCCATCCCCTTTGATGCTTCTTTGTAAATTTTTTTAGTTCTAGTGTTTAACTGGCATGAATTAGAGTTGATTTTGGAGAGAAATGCACACTAACTTCTTCCCCCACCGCCCTTTATTTTATTGGAAGACCGATCGACTTAACTGGAGAAAGGAAGCAATTCCTGCTTGGGAGTACGTTGTCATAACACGGATAAAAGCGTTCCCTTTTTAGCTCGATTCCCGTTCCGTGTCGATCCTGCCTTTATTTTTTTTTTT